CAGGAGCGGGGGCAGGAGCAGGAGCAGGAGCAGGCCCTAACGCTGCAGAGCCAAGGCACAGGTGGCTGGATCCTCATGCACTATTTCATCACGCTCAGTGGGGCCACACGCAGGGCACCCATCCCATCCAACATGCTCTATGCTGGATGTTTTCCACTGAAGACTCCCATTCTCTGTATCACTGAGATCTTCGGGATAAGCAAAAAAAAGCAAAACACATTACCTGCACAAACTACTCAATCCATTTTAAATAAGCTTAACCAAAATGCTTCTTCGCTTTCTAACCAAAGGCCTATTTGTGCAAGCAGAGTTTAAAATCACATCCTGTATCTGTTGGCAGCAGGTGGTGAGTTTTATTCTTCCTTACATCACTCAAGGTAAGGAGGTGTCATCAGAGGTCTTATGGCCAAGTAACTAAGAGGGGTGTTTCTCTGAAAACTGTGAGGGTGCTCCCCTTGCTCCAAGCACACTACCAAAGTCGCTGGTGAGGCAGGAGGCGGTACCTGTGGTAATGCACTCCTCAGAAAACACTGCAGGAACAGGACGTGAGGCTCCTGGGACACAGCCTGGCCACCTTGCCTCCACACAAAGAACTGAAGGCCGTGAACAGCACGGCTGACAGCAAATCTCTTCCAGGAAACAAGCATGAACAAGAATATTAAAATTACTTTTTTTTTTTTTAATAAAAGAATCAAACAAAGCTGTGGCACTTGTTTGAAGAAAACAAAAATCCACAAAGCATTCCCAAGTGAGAGCCAAGATTAAAACATTTGGCAGTTGTACATTTCCAAAGCGAGGTTATGATGAAATCTTACAAAGCCATGAGAGGAGTCCTGCCACCATGCTGAGCCTGTCCAGAGACACATCTCCAAGAGCCTGTCACTTCAGTTTTGTCATCTGGGTTCCACTCGCCTTATGCAAGGGTAGTTCAGGTTGTGCAGCCACAGACTAAGTCTAAACAAAGGGTTTCTACAGAGAGTTGCTGATGTGGGGAGTCACTAATTCATGTTGAGCACAAGTCTGCGGCTTTTAAGCAAGTAGAATATTTGACCAATAAGAAACTTTATTTTCAGGTTTGCCTATTATAAATACGAGCTGTAAAAATCAAGAAGCAATTTACAATTCCAAGTATTTAGATTCCCAAATGTTATAAGCTATATTCCTTTTTCTCTGAAGAGCTGAGCTAAGAGATAAAGTTCTTAACAAAATACAGTCTAATTGTCCTGGACAACCTCCTGCTCCCACACTGCTCGAGAAAAGGAACTCACTGTCATCAGAGGTGAAACCACTACCTGCCTTTTGAAATGAGGGTGCTGGAAGAGCACAAGCATCCCACTCAGCTTCTGACCATCACGCCACCTCATATACAGAGCAATGTCAGCGCTCTCAGACTATGTGGACACCCTCTCAGCACCTCTGCCCGTCTGTTGCCAATGGAACTTGACCAAGGACGCACCAAGGCAGCCACACCAGGGGTCTGGAGTCATCCTTTCAATCTTTCTAGACCTCCTGCACTTGATCTATAGGTAAGAAAAGAAAGTATTTTGCAGGAAACATGGCCACATTTTCGTTCCTAGCCGTTACATTCAATTTCTCTTTTTAAGGACAAAATTGCTAGCAAATTACTTCAAAGTACTCTCTCTCTCCCCATGATTTTGGTGTTATGTGTGCAAAACAGCTTGTATCTTTATATGCAAAATAATTTGGTAGTGAATTCAAGTTCTCCTATGTCCAAGCACACAGTTATAATATCACTGTCCTCCACACCATTAATAGACATCTGCTCAACACCCCGCCCACCCATTAATATCAGAATGCTGTTAAAAAGACTTGATGCCTTAGGTATGGTGTAAAATCATTACTCTTAGACCATTCTTTCGAGCCAAAAGCTTGGGCAGAGCTCCTCCAAAACACTGTCGCCCTCTGCCTCCCAGGAAAGGAAAGGTATAAACTGAGAAACAAAAATCAGCAGTTATGTTGGTCAGCTTGGAGTAACTTCCCCCCATCCCATTTCTCCCTACTGGACCAGGCGTACCGCAGGAGACCGCTGCTGCTGCAAATCTGCCAGGGGTATGTTTGAAGCACCTTTCAAACTGCCAGCACAACTTCTCGTCTCTGGTGCAGCCCTTTTCACCCAGCACTGACTTTCTGTTAAGTCTCCATTAAATGGTTTGGTTCCAGTACCCCCAAGTTCAAAAGAAAGATAATCCCTGATGAAAGTGTCAAACTCCTCCAAAAATGGATTATTTCTAGATGATGACCAGCTGCACCAGGTAGCTTTACTTGGTGCCCACTACTTTAAGGTACTTCATCTTTCAACTACACCATTCTTCCATGGACTGGGCAGATACACCTTCAAGTTTGTCTTTTTCTGTAGGGGCTCCAAAATGTCTCAGGAAGTGCCACATCTATCAGAGATTCTAGTTTGTCACAAACCATCATTCACCACCAGCTTCTCCAGGTCGAAGGCGAGGCAGAGCGAACGTGAACGTTCAACACGTCACCTGCTTGCTGTGGCACCAAGGAGACAAAGTGCCAAGCCTGGGCACAGATGGATAAGCAGTAGCACAACTGTTCTCCCTGCTGTTTGACAGCTCATATTCTGAGGAAGACTTAAAAGAGCACAATTCAGCCTGAGACAATGCCAAGCTTGCACGGGGTGGAGGAGGAATTTACTAGAGTACTCTTAAACTCACAGTGTAAGTCGGTGGGTTCTTTGGAAACGAGAAACCTTTGCATTAAACCAAACTTCTCCCAAGATTTCAGATATCTGAACCAGCAATAGAGTCCTCCAGGAAGCCCAGGAGCAGTAATAAATAACTACAGAACAGCTGTTTTTTTTCTGATGTGGCAATAATGGCAACCAACCTCCCCCTGAGACCTCAACCAAAACACCGTCCGTAAATAACCTGCAAGCAAGTCAGCTCCCATCCTCCACCCACAGCCTCTGTAATCTTTTACATAAACTCAGATAGTACATTCCTGAACAGCAACTTCCAGTGCAGAGATTTCAAGGCCTGTGGAAGCAAACTAAATGGTGCAGGAGCAGAGGGGGGATGGAAGATCCCACTGGGCAGGGTGGACAAAGAGGCAACGCGCCCACGCACCCCTCGGGCAGGGAGAGGGTTCAGTGCACACAAGAAAACTGATGAGGAATCTGGATTTCAGTACTGGGGCAGCTGAAGGCTCACACTAATCTGGCTTAATTTACTCTGCCTGATTCAGCTGGCTTACAGACTGCACCCAGGATTTTACTAACTATTTACATGTTGTACGCAGGCATGCTGAACCTGAATAAACTTCACCACCAAGATTTTCAAGTGCAAATGTACATAGTCTCCCTTAGTTCTGCTCTTAATTTACTTTTGAAAAAGATTCAATTGCTCCCCCCAAACCCTAGGAACACAAATTCTCTGAAAATAGTTAATGATTAAATATCAGTCTGAAGGTTGACAAGAAACTAACTGTTTCATTAAATGAAACAGAGCTTCAAACAAGCAACACTGAATCTACTCCTCCATTAAAGAGGACTAAAAGTCCCTGCATAGAGAAAGCAGTCAATAAATGTTAGAAGTACTATTAGTTAAGACATCAGACAAAACCAGATCAGTTTCCTGACTTGCTGTTTCTGTCTTCACAAGACAACAGCTCCATTTGGATGTTTGAAATTCAGCCTGCCTCAGCCTGAAGTATTGCTTTCCACTTGCAATGTGGTATGAGTAAACGAAGGACTTCCAGTCTCAGAACAGGTAAATTACTGATGGATACAGACTGTCAGTTGTCACTGGTTTGCTCCAACAGTCCATGATTGCTTCAAATTCAGCTGAAAGCTGCTGCAGATGCATCCAAATGTAGGGCTGTTTCAGTAACCTAACAGCACTTCCAGGTTTGCCTTGCTGAGCTCTTCACTGCTGAAGGAGGGTGAGAGTCTTCAGTTTACAGCAAAAAACAAAACAAGGCAGTTATGAAGATCATGTAACACAGAGCTCTGAAGCCCACAGTGGAGGTTTACTGCTGTATGGCAGCCTGCTTCTGGTCTCTTGGGCACAAGCAGCTGCTGCAGCACCTGCTCCCTCCTCTTCTTCATCTTTTACCTCCCCAAAACCTCCTGCTTCTTGGAATGGATTCTCCAGGAGTTTCAGCACATTTCTTACCTACAGAGAAAACAGCATGGCTATGAGGATTTAGAAAGAAAAGGCAAAACAACTTAGAGAAGAACCTGACAGCAAATAATGATCAAGCATACTGTATTTAATACACAAACTCCAGACAAGCCAAGGATTACACAGATGAGCAATATACACATCAAATCAGCTGAAAACAGCAAAATCATAACAGGCTGAGTTTGCATCTGTATGCAACTCAAGCTCAAATAACTTGAAATACAAGTATCAAATAGAAGTTCTTATGTCATTTCTCAAAATAAGCTCATTTTCCCATCTTCCACATGTAACAATCCACATGCTCAGCTCCAGGGGTTTAATTTTTAAGACCTAACACTCAACACAGCAAGGAATGAATATAAATTAAACCCCAACTGCCTCCCAGGGTAAACACCATTCTGAAGACAGGAGAAGCAGGGGTAAGTGTCTTGTCCTGGGACCAGCCTACAAAAGCTGGTGAAGTTCAGGTTCAGATTTTCAATTTCCTTCTTTTTTTCTGCAGTCATTTAAATCACAGCTCCCTCAAAAATAACACAGGCCTTCTGAATAGTAAATTCCTAGTCCCCTCACTGCCCGAGCTGGCAGAACAAATCTCACCTAGTATGTCGGTCACCAACAGCACCACTACACATCTGTGCAAACCTAGAGAGATGTTAAGTAGCAGTAGTAGCAGCATACCTCTGAGAAATCCCCATTTTCAGCTGCTTCTATGGCATTCTGGGCAATATAATTTCTCAGGATATATTTTGGATTGTTAGAATTCATAACCTTCACTCGATCAGCGTTCCAGGTGTCAGCATCACTAACATTTTCTATCTCTTTTTGCAAACGGGCTCTGAAATTAAGCAAGTGAAAACAACTAGTTTGCATCAAGAATCACAAGTAAAAGTCAACACGTTTCCTTGCCTTGAGATCCTTATTTTTCAGTTCTTAATAAATATTACATCCCCTATAATCCTCTCAGGTTATAAAATGCAGCACAACATCAGAAGACAAAACACCAGATGATTTAAAAGCAGCATTACAGACCATCAGCAGGTCCTGGGAAGGCTCAGGGAAGTGGCACACCTATATTCACTGAAAACTCAGACTGAGGCACTGGTGCACAGTGTTCTCCACTGCTCTGCAAACCCCACCACATTCAGGTCTTCTCTTTTGAGTATTTATCAGTTAAAGCTTCTGATGTTGTGACAGAAGTGAAGAGGTGCAGTGCAGCTGAGGCAGCCTCGTGTACCTTTCAGCACCAACACCTGCTAAAACTCTCAGCCCCGCTGGAGAACAAGATTGCAGGCAGGTGAGGAAAGTCATCCTGACCTAATCCATGCAGCACAACTCATGCTCTGCTAAGGGGTTTTATTTCTTAGAAAAAAAATTATAATCTTCTGCTAACACCAGTTAGCCTGTTAAAATGGTCTGCATATTTTTTTCCTGGCCATGATTTCTTTTAGAGTTACTCTTTAATTAAGAATACCTCTACTTGCCTTCTATATTAATACATAGATTGTCTTTCAGAAAAAAAATAAATAAAAGGATAAAATGCTTACAAGTCACTCAATTAATTACTGAGGACTTAAAAGCTCACAATTGAAATTAGTCTCTGTCAGAATCAACATCAACATTCTTGAAGCATTTTTAATTCTAGATTTGATGCTAGGTGATTTCTGTACACCCACACCTCCCCAAAATCTTGCAGACAAAATAGAAAAGATGCCCTTGAACCTCCACAGCCACGCAGATACCGACCTTGGCAGTAGACAGTATTCTGAGCTGCATGTCCCCCGTGCCGTGGGACAGGGTGTCTGCCATGAGATGGGACACTTCTCAAATAAAATACACTGCTATGGATACTGAGAACCCTTACCTGTATTTCTCCAGCCCCTCTTTCCAGTGTCTCAGCCCCGCTTTCCAGTGTCTTTTATTTCTGCTGAGCAGATCGTCTGCTGTTAGCTGCTGCAGCTTAGAGGACTGCTCGATGCGTTCTAACTCTTTATTGATATTAGCTTTGGTTCCAATCAGTGCAAACAGCTGAGGGTTAGACTGAGCCAGCATCAGCATCATCGACAGCTGTCTGGGGATTCAGGGAACAAACACAGCACATATCAGAGTTGAGCTGCCCCTCAAGAACCATCTTTTTTGCAACCATAAAGTAGATAAGAAAACATACACAGTAACCTATGATTTCACTAAAGAGGTTAAATAATAGTGCTTCATAATTTATAATTAAAAAATGTTTTTAATTATGTTCATTTTGCTGTTCCTTCCCCCTGGTTCAGTGTGTTTAATTCACATTCCTGGGGAACAGAAAGTGCAGAGAGCAGATCTGCAGAATTACCAGCTAGGTTCAGATGTGCAATTCCCATCACAATATCCCCAGATATTTTAAAGGAATCTGGAACACAGAATTTGATCTTATCAAGATAATACAGAACCCATTTTGTTTTAAAATTTTCTTTTCCTAACATCAATACTGTAATAGCATGCAGAATAAAGATCTCATGCCTACTAATTTTACCAGTACTAATAAAACCCCAAATGACAGGGGGAAAGACACTTTAAGCCATATGAGACAATGGTCTGTTTAATTTTTTTTAGGCAGTATCCACCACCTTCATTTATTTACCTTTCATTTTAGTGTATCACCACAAAAACTTAAATAACCAGTAATATCTCTAAAAGGATAAATGGCTACAGCCAACCACCCTGGCGTAACACCAAACTTGTATGAACAAGTTTCACATCTTCTCAGCTCCCTGCTTTCCCCAGGTTGTTAACTGGGAGAGAGTTAGGGAGAGAGCGAGGGAAAGCGAGAGGGAGACAAAGGAAGGGAGAGAAAGAGAGAGAGAAAGGGAGAGAAAGAGAGAGAGAAAGGGAGAGAAAGAGAGAGAGAAAGGGAGAGAAAGAGAGAGAGAAAGGGAGAGAAAGACATCATACTTAAAATACCCCCCTTTAAGTTTTTTTTTTCTTTTTTAATTTTTTCACCCATCTGTGAAGATGCCAAGGAAAAAAAAAAGATAAATTAGTGGGACATACTCATTCCCTGTTTTCCACCATTCCAAAAAGTAAAAAACTGCCACAGTTACTGTTAGAAGCAGTAGCTGAACAAAATTTACTATTTTTCCATGCTCAGAGTAGCTGCCCTGTAGAACATGGCTCATCAAATGGGACATGGATGGCACAACACAATTTTCAGAGCCTAAAATGCACAGTTAAGTTATACTCAGCCCAGAACATCGGTGGCTGAAAGTGATTATTTGCTGACAGTACACTGGCAGAACACAGCAGCATTACTGTTCAAATCCATTTCTTCTATAAAATATTTCTGCATCAGTTCATTATCTGGCACTGTCACTGCCTTTGTCAGCAAACTGGGGAGGGAAAAAAAAGGAGCAAACAAAATCTCAGACAACTTTAGTCACAGTCAACTGCTGCAAGTCCCTGCTGAGCATTACCAGTCACTGAAGATACTGCACTGCTGTAGATCATGATGCATCTATTTAGCAGTAAAACTTCCAATTTTATAATTAATCAAATACTGCATAGCATGCAGAGTTCATTATGGTTATAATGAAACTAAAAGCACAGGCCAAAAGTATTTAAGTAGAGCATTACCTTGGATCCATCTGCGGTTTGAAAGCAACTTTCAGTTCTTCCACAGAAGCACACTGACTTGTAAGCTCTTCTAAGAAACCTTCCAATTCTGAAGTATCAGAGTATACTGAAAATGAACTCAGCAAGTAGAAAATATTTGTGAAGTCTCCACCTGAAAAAATGAATTCTGTGGGTAATGCAACTAATAAATCAGCAGGAGAACAGGTCCCATACCTCGTTCCTAACTCCCCCCGCAGCACCACAGGTCGAGAGGGAACCAAATTGCTCCCTCAGAGAGGGCCCCAGTGTGAGGCTGAGGGAGCCCTGTCCCCCTCACACACACACACAGCAACAGCTGCCCCACAGCTCACAAGAAGGTAATTATTTTTCAGTCTTTTATCCATCTCTCAGATGACCATGTAGATGCACCAGACTGCTTTCTTCTAAGGCCAAGAAATAAACTACATTTTGGTTCAATGATAGATACTGATGAAGGAATGCTCCTCTGTCTTCATCACTAACCTGTGAGATGCATGGTTTCAAGAAGTTCAGACACCAGTTTACTATCTTCTTCTAATTCCAGCTGGATTAGGCCTAGTTTCTTCCTCATCTTCTGCAAATAGTGTTTCTCAAATTCTGCATCATATTCCTCTTCCAGGATGAGTTCACTTATTTCCAAGGGCAGCTCTGGAACCAGAGCCTCTGCCAGCTTCCCCAGGTTCCACTTGCAGACCTCGGGCTGCCTGCTGTAGGCGTAGCGCCCCGCGCTGTCCGAGCCGTTGCAGACGTGCTCGGGGTCGTATCTGCAAACCAGAAGCATTCTGCAGTTATCTGCACACCAATAGCGTGAGGAGGATTATTGTTGTTATTTTAGTCTTCTCTAGGAAACAAAAAAATTTGAAAGGGAACACTCCTTGATGCTTTTCCCACTGTTACCCCCTTAGATAATTTTCCTGCCCTTTCAAACACAGAGAAATCCCACAGGCTACAAGAACAGCCTAACAGAAATGTTGTGAAGGTAGTTAAAAAGTTGAGAAGAAGAATTAGAGGACAACTAGAACTAACTTAATCTACTTTGCCACAAAGAGGGTTCACAAATCTGCTCTCCAGTGAAAACATTAAAGCAGTTATGAGCATCAGGACTGTTCCACCCAGCAAACACAGGTGCAGAGGTCGAGCAGGGGTGCCACGCTGACCTGTCCAGGAACCCAAAGGGGCCGTAGTCGATGGTCAGCCCGACGATGCTCATGTTGTCTGTGTTCAGCACCCCGTGGCAGAACCCCACGCACTGCCACTCAGCAACCAGCCTCGCTGTCCGCCTGGTTACCTGAAAGAGAATGGGTTTCTTCATTTTTTAACACGATGTATTTCCGGCACACTCGTGAATTTCCAAGCTCTTCCCAGTCTGAACTGATGTTTCCACAGCTCTGACAGAAGCTGATCCCAGCAGTATGTCATACAGAGAAATCTGTTAAGAACAGCCTGCCTCCCTCCTCCTGTCGGTAACCACCCTGCTTCTCAGCCTCCCACTCCTGTTTGCCTCCTCTTCTCTCCCTCCATGCATCACTTGCAAGTCAGCCAGACAGCTTTAAATGTACTGGAGATAGAATGCACACTGTTTGACACCAGACTTGCACACTGTGCTAACCATTATACAAATGTTTTCTTTTGCTTACCACTGATTTTAAAGAGCCTTTAACTGCAGGCAGGAGAAAACAAGCAAAGTCTAAGAAATAAAATTAACTACAGGCAACAAATCTTGGTGTAAAGTTGCTCTTTTGGATTACCTATTATGTATGAGTGATTTACAGGAAGGTAGGTGGTTTATACAAAAAACTATTCCCTGCTAACAAGCACTGGTAAGTGCTGCCTTCAGTTTGCTGAGAGTGGAAAAGAGCTACAAGGTAACATGAAAATATTCCAAGAAGGACCATTTTATTGAAATGCAGTTCTTCACAGAACACATGCTGCACCAGAGACCCTCTGCTGCTTAACTGAGAGTTACTGTTATGGAACCCTTGACTGCAATCACTGCACGTGCCCCATTCTTCAAATAAGTATTTTAAAATAGAGTTATTTAATTAAATTAGCCCACCTAGCAACTGCAACTAGATATGCCCTATGAAATCTAAAATTCAGGAAGCTAACTTGACTTTTAAATAAACTTAGGTGTTACTAAGTATTTTACTGAATAGCTGCAAGCTAAACTTTTATTTAGTCAATACCAAAAGCTTTTAAATCAAACTATTCTCACAGCTAAAATCATTCATCTTCCAAAATAGCTATTAATGTTCAGAAATGTAAAGCAACTGCTGTCTTTAGGTTGTGGTGTAAGTGGATTTTGTTAAGGTTTACAAAATTATCTAGTCAACAGAGGAAATGTTACTTTTGTGCCTCTGTCTTCAAACTCATAATTTTCCCCTTTTCCTGGTTCTTTTTAAACACATGCAGTCAGGTGAGGAAGAAAAATTAGAAAAATCTTGTCCTGGGATAACCTGACAGGTAGTAAATAGCACAAATGATGCTGGGAACAGAAGCTTTTTGTTCACCTTGAGATCCCATGCTTCTACTTTTTACAGGAGTCTTGTGTTAGGTACTTCACCCATTTTTCCTGAACACTGTCTCACGGGGCAGTCAGTGCCAGCTCCATGTGTCCAAACCTGATTACTGGCACGTCCTAACCCAGGGGGACACACCCTGTACCATGGCTCTGTGCCAGGAAAATGGCAAAACTTCAAAATACAAAAATCCTGGCCATCAGGCTGTGGATGAAAGCACTGCAGGGGTAGGGCAATTCATGACTGCTGGATGCCTCTGTGCAGATGCATCACACGCTGCCAGTGCTCTGGTGAAGAAATCCCGCTAATGAGAACACCTAAAGGCAACTAAAGCTTGGGCAGCAGTCATAGATGGGTATATGGATTAGAAAGAGAAGGCTTTGCATTTGCTTTCACCTTTATTCTATTTGATCACATTTTTCTACTGCTAGCCATACCAGAGACCAAGTATGGTGTATATAGAAATAATGGCACAGACTCAAGGACATGCTCATTTAAATATAAGAAACACCTACAAATTACTTGGGAAGTGCAGATAATGATGTTTGCTTTCTAGACAGTGCTGCCAAATGCAATCACTTGTACTTTTTTCCTCCATTTCTTCCACATTGCAGAAAGAAAGATGAAACATGTTAGAGTTGAGCTGACAGCACTTCCCCACTATTAAAAAAAGATGGACCTGTTTGTCAAATTAGGTAAGGCACTGGGGTGCTTTTCAGGTGGAGAAAGGTATGGGAAGTCTCCCCTAAGGAGGGGAGAAAACACGAGGAGGCAATGCTAGCACAGACACAGAAGACAGGCAGGCACAGGCAGGAGGAGCACAACAAGCAAACAAACGAACAAAAAAAAGGAGATGGGGGCAATAAGGAATGGATGTCAGGATCGAGGGGCAGGAAAACAGTAGCAACCAGGCCACGAAAAGCTGCAGAAAGAGGCAGGGCTGGGCACACACACCCACAAAGATCCCCAAGCCCCCGACTTTTCTGTCATCATGAACTAAATATGCCTCCAAGTACAGAGCTAGACTTGCACATGGTGGGCAACCAAGCCAGAGTTCTCCCATCAGCCAGAGTTGCTGGAACGCAAGAGGCCCGTTCGGTGAAGTTAAACTCTTTGGCACCCAGAGGTGGGCCAAGCCACAACTTGCCTTTGAAGAACTAATGCAAGTATGAATAGGCTGTGTTAAAGCAAACCAAAACAAATAAACAAAACCAAAACAACTCCCCCCCAAATTCTTCAAAATCCACAAAACACAGAGAATGTCAGATTTCAAGCCTCCCTTTTGACCACTTGTTGGTCTGTTGTGAAAGTGCACCCCGTTGCAGTCATCCCCTACGTCCCTGCCAGATCGTTTCAAATATCAAAGCACTACAACTGCTTTTACAAAGACTAGTCAAGTGTATTGGGCAATGGTATCTTTTTAATTATTATGCTTACTCTCTAAGGATACTATTCTTATTTTGATTGTAGCGTTATTCGAACTTCAGGCGATTCAGATCTGAGCCTTTATTATAGTTCTCCAGTAATTTCCAACTGGATCCCTTCTGCAAGGGTAGCATTACTACATACTAGCCTCTAAAAACAGAGAGTAGCACCTTATTCCCTTACCCCAAATTCTTTCTTTGCTCACTAAGATAAAGGAATAGAATAACAGAAATTCAATGTCAAGAATAGCAACACAGTATCAACAGTGAGACAAAATGTATATTCAGGAGATAAAGTGTAGATACAAATTAATTTAGCTATGCTTTACTTCAAAGACAAAATGGCAACTCTATTTATTACTGATGTTATAGTTCTGATTTTTATTATGAATCTCTGGGAATTGTTAATGTCTAAATTTATACAGTAATTGAAAACAGGGTCAGAATGAGTCTCTGAGAAGTCATCCAGCCTCTCCTCTGGGCCACTGCTGAATGACCTGATACTACACCACATCTGAGACACACTTATCTCACCTGATCTTTTAATTCCCAAAGCTGGAGGTTTTGCAACTTCATCAGGCAAGCTCTGGAAGTGCTTGACTGCCTTTAAACATTTCAATTCCAAAGCCTTAAGTTAAAGTGATTTGCAGTCAGCATTCCTGTTTGTAATGTGGAAAATGAGAGGCAGAAAGTGACTCAAAGTGATGCCTGGCAAGTGATGTCTCAATTTCAGGCAAGTGATGTCTCTGTACTGTCAACTCATCATCTGACAGTCAAGGCCAGAATTCCTCCTCACAGTCTAAGACACTCTCAGCATATGGAGACAGGTCTTGGGAACTGCTCTCAGAGCACAGAAATCATGATTTACTATTCAAAGGGTTAAACCTCTTTCATTGTTTTGATCAGTATCCTCATTGCTTTCACTGATAAGCAGTTGCATTAGGAGTGTTTTTCTCAAAGAAAAGAACAGTTCAGGCAACTGGATGATGCAAAGTATTAACTGGCTCCAGCCACCTGTGCTTGCAGATGAAGTTCCTAAAAGATAGCCATTGTGGATCTAGGAAGAGGATCTGATCTTTCTTACCTCTTTGAAGAAAGCAGCATTCCTCTGAACACTGTTGTCTGAGTAAGCCTCCTGGATTTCTGGATAGAAAGTGCCAATCACATAATCAAGCATCTGTATTCGAATATCATTGCGGTTCACACTGGGGCCCTTGCGTCCTGTGTATTCATCAGGAGGTTTAAAAATTTCAAAAGAACCAAACCTGTTTTAAAAGAACAAAAACACGTTTTTAACTTCATCTGGTACTACATACAGTACAAACGTGCACTAATGCATCAGCTTTTAACATCAGTCCTTCAGGTGCCTTAGAGAAAAGACCCACGAGGCTCCTCCACTGACCCCAGTGAGGCTCAGTGACGCAGCGCAAGGAACCGCGCGCACAAACCTGCACCTAAACCCAGCTCAGGACCTGGCCAGGGCTGAAGACCAACACATTAAAGCTTCTCACACCCACTCCCACAGAAAAATCCTTATCCCAAGTCCTGTTTCTCTATATTTACTTATCTAGAATACTGGACTGTGCATCAAGTAACACAGGTTTTTCCACACGCATACATATACACGCACAATACAAACACACACGCACACATCTCCCTTACTCCTCACCTTCCTCCAGTATTTTGTTACCCTATGAGAAGCAATGCAACTTCCTGAAACTCTTAATGCTTTGTCTTGGAGCAGGAACCTCGTAGACTTCTCAGGCAGGGGGAGTACACCCAAACTTTGAAAACAGCATGACATTAGAATTTCTTTGGAATTAAGGGTAGAGCCACAATCCACCACTGCCAACACCAAAACAGCATTTATTCTGTGCAGGCATAAACACGAAAAATCTTCTCTGAGGTCTGCACAACTTAGTTCTTCTATCTACCAGGGTAGAATCCTTCGTGCTTAACTGTGTGCAAACCAACCAGCTCATCCCATCTGCTGCACAAGACCAGTCTCCCACAGCCCAGCAAAGGAGTTTCAAGCCTCCAGAACAAGAAACACATAAACAGTGATGTTACAGAAATATACTTAAAATGTTATTTCAAAAAACTGCTGTACATTTAAAAAAAAATAATAACAACAATTTAAAAAAAAAACCAAAACACAACAAAATAGGCTTCTACCTTATAAACGTGGAAGCTATCCTCAGAACAACCGTACACCTCTCCCGTTTCGGGTTCCCGTCGTACAGGACGTCGCGGAGGACGGTGGAGTCGGAGGTGACGCAGGTGCCGGCCCTGGTGGTGGGTATGCCCAGGTGAAACATGGCCTCGCTGCACAGGAACTCCCGCACGCTCGACCGCAGCACCTTCCGACCGTCGGCCTGCCTGCAGCGAGGCGACACAGAGCCCCCAGGTTACACAGCCAGCAACCCCTGTCTCCCCTCGAGCAGTGGGCAAACAGAAGCCGAGAGGCGAGCAGCTCTGTCCACAGTCACACCACAAAGCAGTGGCAGACCCGAGAACAAAAGCTGGACCTTTGAACTTGGGTTCAAGCTCAGCCAGATGGACGCGATGCATTCGCAACGAAGACCACATGTAACAAGAAAATAAACTTTCCACTTACACATACCCCTTTTAATCACTAACTCTGTTTTTATTGACAAAATTGTTAAAAAAAATGTTAACATTTTGGACAAGCATAGCTATTCTATAGTATAATAAGTTGCTGGTTTGCTCTTAATAAAACGCCTCCTGTTGAAGGCTATGAAATTGTATTATTTTTGTTCTTTCTGGGTACGTAATCTAGAAATCGGGTGTTAAATATGGGCACACGTGAAAGCTGCATTGAAAAGCCAACCTGAACAGCCACTAACAAACTTCCTTGTTTAACAGCTATCAAGTAAACAGAAGGGGTACGCGCGGCTCTGAAGCCCACACTCCCAGAACTCCAGAAGCTACAGACAGATGCCCAGGGCAGACCTACAGTGCTACCACCACCTCCGGCATTTTCGCTGTTATTTCCTTACCCTTCACAGACCTGAAGAAACCCTTCAGAGCACCACGTGCATGACACAAAAGTGTTAGTGCGACTGCACACGGATGGAACAGAAAATATCGGAAATGCAAGTGGGGAAAATGATCTGAAAGATTTACAGCAGAGCAGGCTAAGCTGAGCAATGGAGATGCCCGTCCCTTGCAGGGGCTCGGTAAGTATGCCACGCCGGGGGCTTTTTCAGCATTCCCTCCCACAGCCAGGGAGGACGGAGGAAACGCACTGCTGGCACCAGGACCTGCAGCACAAGCCAACCAAGCATCCGCAGAGGACAAGGCAGGAGGCAGCCAGGTGGCTATTCCACACTGCTGTCCTCACTCTCATCCCGGGCTGCGTCCTCCCGAAAGGGGAAACCTCAGAGGAAGGCAGCCGGGGACACAAGTTCCCGCCTGAAGGAGATGCAATTACAGTCTTATTTTCCAGAGGAGAATTTGGCCACCTCCCGGCTTGACTTTTAAGCATTCCACTCGCTGCAGCGAAGATAGAAAAACCCCTCGAGGGGCTTGAAGAACCGATCTCTGGCGCGGGGGATGGTCCTGAGCACAGAGCCCGCAGGAAGGGCGCCTCGCCGGCGTAGTCACCGGGCAAGGGCAGGGCCGGGCCGGGCAGGCTGTCCCTGTCCCTGTCCCTGTCCCCGTCCCCGTGGCGGAGCCTTACCGGGAGAAAGGTGTGAGGCCGGCGCCCTTCAGCTGGATCTCCCAGCGCTCGCCCTGGGGGCCCAGCACCTCGCCCAGGTACATGGCGGCGCCGTCGCCCAGCTGACCCGCGAA